TCTTGGTGGTTGATGGCGGTACGTGCAGCGCAGTGTGTACAGGGTAAGTCTGGCGGCTTTATGGGTATTAAGAGCCTGTTTCGGAGTCCCTCGGTAATCTCGGCGTCGGTGAACATGGTGTTGGGGCTTGTTGGTAGAACCTCGATCCAGCGACGACACAGGTAGCTTGCGTTTTCGGAGAGAGAATTACGCTCGAGTTCGGAGATTAAGTCGAGACTCTTAAGCTGTTCTATATAGAAGCTCTTAAGCACGCTTTGAGCTGTTTCGGCCGGGTGGGCGGGTTCGTCTAGTAGTAGCGTGGTAGGTGTTGTTTTACCGCGTAGAATGAACTGTGTAGTAGTAGTATTGGCGTCGCGAGCGGCTGTGTAGAGCTGTTTTGCTACTTTTGCGTGTAGTATGAGTCCGAGTCCACCTTGGCGGGCTGGGATACCAATTAAGGCAGTATGCTCTATATTGATTGGCTGGAGTCGGCGGGACGCGATATGGCCTAGTGCGGCGATTGTGGCGGCATCGGCTTGTTGCCATAGTTCTGTGAGCCCGCGCGGGTCGAGCTGGCGGAGCAAGTGGCGTAGTAGGTGGTTAATGCTACCTTTGAGTAGCAGTAATGCATGCTGTTTAGGCAGCGTGCGTAGGGTGAGAAGAATAGAGTTATACTTGTCGATCTTCTTCTCGAGGAACGTTTTTCGGGCAGCTCGTGGTCCTATAAAGGAGCCTAGTACTGGCAGGCCTGTAGTTCGAAGGTCTTCGATTCTATGTTCCTTGGTCTTGCGAATATTGAGTTCTAGGTTGTACTCGGTGAAGGTTTCTAAGAGTACTGGTTTGATTTCCGGGTCTTTACGCGAACCGAGTACGTAGAGGTCGTCTAGGTAAGCGAAAATGCGGGAGTTTGGCAGCTTTCTTTGGAGCGCTTCGATAGTTGGGCGCTGCGAGAGCGAGTAGAGCAGGCTAGCGAGCGGATCGCCTTGGCGTACGCCTTGCGCAGAGGCTAGAGCTGTGCCGTCTGAGAGTACGAGCAGCGCCGGGTGGTTAAGTGCCCAGGCAGAGGCTTGTAGCAGCGTGGGCGCATGGTTGAGGACTGCTGTTGCGATGGTTGTACGGTCGCGGTTATTGAAGGCGTTGCTTTCATCGGCCGAGGTAATAGTATCGAATTCGGTAGAGTCGCTCATAATAACGCTTTGGAGCGCAAAGATAGCGGGTTCGACGCCGCCGGGGGAGCTGACGCCGAGCTGGTTCGGGAGCAGCATCTCGGGGCGGAAAAGCGTGGCGATAACAGCTTTCATGGCGATTCTATAGATCATGTCACCGATAGCGATAGGGCGGATACCGCCATCGTCTTTTTCCAGCGCGATAAGGCGTGATGCTGTAAGGAGGTGCGAGCCTTTCGCTGTAGCTAGTCGGATGCCCTCTGCAATGTGGCGGATCATGGCGAGCACGCCGGTGCGCGTAGAGCCGTCTGTTTCGTCTGCTATCGCAATGTCGAGAAGCGAGCGCGTCCAGCCGCTGAGACCAGGGGCCTTTTCTTTACTGGTGGTACGGATCGCTGTGCGGATGGCATCGATCTTGATAGGCTGGCCTGCGTGTGGGCGGGCTCTGATCTGGAAGGGGTCTTTGGGGCCGATTGGGTGCTTCTGGCAGAGCTGTGCTTTGAGTTCTGGAGTGAGCTCTGCGAGAGGCGCCTGGTCGACGAGCGCCTGTGATGCACGACCGAGAAAGCCTTGTTCGAGTAGCTCTATAGCGCGCAGCGAGCTGTTCAGCTCTTTTGGCTCGGGGCGTGCTTGGTTGGCTTGCTCTGGAGGTGCTGGGAGTATATGTGGGTAGTTACGCAGCTTCTGGTTCAAGTTGCCTTGCTGGAGGCCTATACCGAGGATCCGCGGTAGCAGTAGGAAGTCGAGGATTGCTTGTTCGGATGGTTTGTTAAGGTAGGCGTTGGCGAGGCGCTTAGCGGTTTCTTTAAACGCTGTTGCTTGGCGCGGGTGTAGCTTTTTAGTTGGTATATAGATGGTGGAGTAGCGTACAAGGGTTTGCATAGCCGGGTCGGCGAGCAATGGCTTGGTGAGCTCGTCATGCTGCTCCTGGAGGGACTGGTTTGGATTCTGGGCCCAGATGGAGGCCTGGAGGCTCTGGTCCCTTTCGTGGAGGTCGAGGGGTTGCGACGGCGGAAGAGACTGGAGGTCTGGCTGCTGGGTGCGTGTGGAGGCCCATTGCGAGTGCGAGAGTGTGTTTGACGGGCGCTCGAGTGGCGCTGGCGGCTCTGGCGGCTCTGGCGTTGCGAATGGGTCGGAGTCGTAGTTTGG